TTCTTTTCCTAGACTTGGCAGAGCTTTTACTTAATTTGAGCAGTCTGATGCATTCATGTGTCTGAGAGGTCGGGGATGTATGGGCTTATTGCTTCTGACCACTTCAGGGCCCGGGTTGATCCGGTGCGTCATATAAGCAGTCTGAGGAGAACTTGATTGTTTTCTCAGGATAAGTGGTTTCTATAGCTTTGCTGCTTATGATATTAATTTTTTTTCTTGGCAGATATTTGGAACAACAGTAAAGACTGCACTGTAAGTGCATACCCCACATTTCAGTGCACTTTCCAGAAAGCAACAGCTAACAGCTTGGCCACTTGGGTCCATGCCAGGTTGAGGGCTGCAGGTCGGGGCCTGAGTCTAGGCTGACTGGGCCCAAGCCAAGCTCTTGTAGGCATTTGCTGAGTGACCCTGTGGATGAAATGTCTGTTTATCTCTGTCTTCAAAACCAATCAAAGAAAAAAATATTTTTCTGATTCAGATTTTTAAGTTGTTTGCCAATATCTTATTTCACAGACTGTATGTACAAAAGTGCTTTTAAAAAGTTCATGGAAAATGGGATTAAAAAGATGTGTATTTTTGTGTAAGACAATTCTTTTCAAGATATATTTGTTTGAAAGGCAGAGTTAGAGAGCAGAGGTCTTCCATCCACTGGTTTCCTCCCCTAATGGGTCAAAGCCAGGAGCTTGGGACTCCAGTGTCCTATATGGGTGGCAGGATCATGGCACTTGAACCATCTTCCACTGATTTTCCCAGGCTCATTAGGAAAGAGTTGTGTTGGATCTAGAGTGGCTGGGACTTGAACAACCAGCGCTCAGAAGGGATGCCAGAATTGTAGGAGGCAGCTTTACCCACTGGCTGCTGTGTAAGATGCTTTTTAAATTCATTCAAGCTTTATCATAATCACCATTTTCCTTGACCTTTTTGAAGGTCCCTCATGAAGTTCTGGCTTCTTAAAGGCAAATTCTTCATTCCTCAGGATACATAATTTTGTTCTCATTTTTTAAAGTCTTAGATATCTGTTTCTTGCAACATTAAGTGCTTGACTCATAATATTATTATTATATATTTTAGAATGGGCTCCAAGAAGAGAAACTGGAATCTTTATCCAGCTTGCCTGCAGGAGATGAGCCGTGTTTGCAGACCTGGAACAGGCCGAGCTGTGCTCCTTACGCAGGACAAGAAATGTTTTACCAAGGTGCTGCACAGTACCTCAGCAATCTCAGCCTTTAGTGGTGACTTTAGATCTTTTTAGGTGAATTTTAGTAGAATTAGTTTACATAGGATTTAGATTTCCCTGAAGAATTAGTTATTTTAAATTTAAAGGCAGGTTTACAGAGGGAGAGAGAGATCTTTCACATGCTAGTTTACTCCCCAAATGGCCACCATGGCTGGGGCTGTGTCAGCCTGGAGCCAGGGTTCCCACATAGGTGGCAAGAGCTCAAATACTTGGACCATCTTCTGCTTTTCCCAGATAGATTAGGGTGGGATGGTAGTGTCAGCGGCAGCAGCTTTACCCACTGTGCCAAAACACCAGCCCTCCCCAAGTGTTAACTGGCAGCTGAGATCTGAGGTGGAGCCTAAAGATGCCAGTCTAACTACTTTCATGCCTTCTCTGTGTGCACAGGCACTATCTGGAATGGGGCACGTATGGCGAAAGGTGCATACAGTTTGGGTGAACATTGGAGGTCTTCATGCTGCGGTTTATCTCCTGAAACGTACACCACAAGCGTTTGTTCATCCTTCAGAGGACAGAGACAGAGGAGCCCGTTGGTGACACTGCGTCCGAAGGTGCTGGAGAGCATCTGTGCTTCCCACACTGGCAAGGCCGGTGGAAGAACCTGCTGGGAGAGTAAGTGCAGTTTGCACTCCTATGTTTATAAAGGCAGAGCTCGTCTTGGGAGCCATTTTTATGGGTGAGCTGGGCAGTTAGCATTTCTCTTAAAATGTTTTAAGATGTTTAGTGAAGAGCTTTATAAAACGTTTTGGGATTTTTTGGTTCCCATTTTGTTTTCAGCATTGTGACAAGTGGAATGATATCCAGGTCTGAAAATACCATTGTAGCCTCCTAGGCCTGTCTGCTGCCTCTGCAGCTTTGCTTTCTGAAGCTTGGACCTCAAAAATAAAGTTTCAGTACATTTGGTGACGTGTTGGCCTTGTACCAGGATGAAATCTTAAAACATGGCACCTGTTAGTGAGATCAATCTACAGGACTCAGAGGGCTGGAACATATGAAAGGGGCTACAAACGGATGTGTTGCTTTTTAAAGTCAAAACATAACCGTTGGCCCTGGTACAGTAGCCTAGCAGCTAAAGTCTTTGCCTTGAACAGCTGGGATCCCATATGGATGCAGGTTCTACTCCTGGCAGCCCCACTTCCCATCTAGCTCCCTGCTTGTGGCCTGGGAAAGCAGTGGAGGACGGGCCAAAGCCTTGGGACCTTGCACCTGTATGGGAGACCTGGAGGGCTCCAGATATGATCGTCTCAGCCCCAGTCGTTGTGGCCACTTGGGGCGGCGGGGTGAACCATCTCTGTCTTTCCTCCTCTCTGTATATCTGCCTTTCTAATAAAGTTAAACCTTTTTTAAAAAAAAACATAACCGTTGTTTTATATTGGTTTCTTAAAAGAATGAGAGAAACAAGGGAAGGTATCAGAATAGAATGAAAGCATTCCAGATGGCATTCATGAAATTGGACATTTTCCCCTATTTTCTCCCAGATCAGTAGTCTAGTTGCTTTTCTGGCTGCATCAAGTCCTTCCTAAGATAGTTTTGTGGAAAAGCAAATCCTGTTGAGTCCAGGTAAAGTGGCACTTCCAGGCCAGAGTGTCTGGTTTGTTACTTGGCTGCCTTTAGCTTAGATCTTTGGTCTTGTAATTAATTCATACTACCTGCTGATGTCTCCATCTGGAATAAAAGGGTCTAGCACTTCCTCTCCAACATGTGTACATGAGCTGCAGAATCTGTGTTCCCTGATCTAAATCCCACACTTCAGAATGGATTGGAAGACATTTAGAAAGGTTTTGTATTCTGCTGTGGTGTTTGTGAGCTGAACATGAAAGTTTTCACTTGAAAATGACCATTTCAACCTCAAATGCTGGTTGGTCGGCAAGGAGTATGTATGTGTAAGTGCCTGGTACAGTGCCTGCCTCAGAATGGGCCGTCAATACACAACAGTTCAAATACTTGTTGGATGTTAGCTTAGTGTTTCTGACATCTTCACCCCTAGTACCATAGTATGTTTTAAGAGTCAACAACAGGCTTTCAGTGGGTTTTCGAAGTCCTGAATGTCAACAGTGACATTTATGTCCACCTACCAGCTACGTGGCCTTGGTTTTTACCTTCTGAGGGGCTCTCCTAGACCATGAGAATGGGGAATAAAATGGAATACACATGAAACAGCAGAGTAACCTCCCCAGCATTGGTACTGGTCATTAGTCCATATGCCTCAAATGGGGAAATATAGTTAGTTCTCTCCCAAAGACTGCAGTGATGTTGTTGTACTGCAGTGATCTGTGAGAGCGTTATCACACTGCTTCTGACATGGCAACAAGGCTTTCAGGAAATTCCCCAAACCTCAGCCTCCTGTGGACTAAGGCAGCTAAAGAATGATTTTGCAGAAGCACTTTTCTTGTCACTTCATTTGCCCTGGGGCTATTTCCTAATCAGTTAGTCAGATATTTATGGTAATGAAATTTTCACTAGAAAGAGCAGTCAGGCTTCTCTGAAGGCTAACTCCTGAATTCCTGCCTGCCTAGTACACTGTTAGGTCCCACCTAAAACACCAAAGGCTGGCTGGAGCATGCCCAGGATTCCAGCCAGGATGGCTTACCTTAGATAGTCATTTTAATTCCCTGCTGCAGTCACCTCAGCAGGCATTTGGCAGTTTGTGTATCACAGCTGGAACAGCCACTTCCTGCACCCTCAGGATGCTCTTGCAGTGTAGCCAGATTCCTCATCCTGTCACATGAGCAATCTAAATTGAGCAATATAGTGTTAGGGCTCTTACCTAGCAGAAAGTGGCTGGATGATTCCTCCTTGCACTCAGTGGGCTTGTATGTTGTTTACTTGTAATTGGTTTTTAATTTTCATATATTGATCATTTGGAGTATTTGCTCATGAAGTTAAATGAGTACTACAAAAATATGGGTTATTTAATTATGTAATATGTAAGATAGTCATTAATATCTGGACCTATCTTGTAATTATCGGGAAAGTTCTAGAACTGATAGTGGAGACAAGGTTTCCCCTCAGTTCTGATTCTAACTTTAGAGTGTAGATTTCATCACTGATCAGACTATCAGCTGTCTTGTCTACCAGGTTCTTTTCTTTTACATCAAAGATGCCCAGGAACCAACTCTGACTGCCAAAACTGTGGTCACTGCTTCAGGTACAATTGTTTCTCCAACTGAAGCTTGTTCAGCTTGCTTCTCCAAAGGCTCGAGGCGTTATCCTTTCATGATCAGCGCACACCTCCAGCTACTGAGGATAACCCTACGCAGTTAGTCACCCCACACTATTTTAGGGCTTGTGTTTACTGCCAACCTTTCACACACCACAGCTATCCTTATTGTCCAGCCCCACTTACAGACCCATCAGTTTGTGCACACCCACCTCTGCTGTTAACCACCACACCCGCTTCCCATCCTGGCACACTGTGCTTTAATTGCAGCCCAGTGTGGCACTGCTGGCATTTCTGATTTCCCTTTCACCCAGCAGACAATAATGGGAGTTGTGTGGCTTTTAAACATTTCCTAGTTGTTGTGTTTCTCCAGCTGATTTAATGCAGTTGCTTTTCTAGCTTGAAAAAATTCATGTCTTGTGTACATACCTTCCCAAAAAAGGACTTGCAAATGAATGGTTCCTAACAATTCCTCAACAGCACCACACTGTTGCTCTCTTCGTAGGACATAATGAAGCTTTACCTAAGTCATCTTTTTCCACTTTTTATAGATTTCTTCCCCTCCACAAGTAATCTTTTCAGCATTTAAAAAAACAGATGTGATTATTGGTTAACAAGTTTATTAAAGTCAACAGTCCATTCTTAAACTAGAAAAATATAAAGACTAATATTTTGGTATTTGAAATTGGGGAAAAGACATTGCACAAGACAAAATGAAAAAATAGTTAGGTTTGTGCTTAAGTACAGGAAAACTACAGGATTTAAAAATAGCAGAATGATACTGGAGTCACACAGATCATGGCACCACTGATTAACTTCATTAGTTTATAGCCTCTGCACACTTTTTGACATCAATGGCAAATAAAGATATTCTGATATTGTGAAAACAGTTTTGACCTCGCAGACTCCTGCCTGTGCCTGGGCAACAGGGATGTGGCCAGTCAGGCACCATCTTGCTCAAGGAACAACCTAGAGTGGGGAACAAAAAGAACTGCATGATTACTACTTACAGAGCGTCAGTCTGGCTCTCCTCCCACCTGTCCGTGTGTTGATGACTGTTCTTGTGGCCTCTCCACTCCCCAAACCACCCTGTACCTCGCAGCTGTGCACATCTCCCACCTGTCAGAGCAGGGCTCCAGTGCCTGGCCTTCAGCTTGCTGACACACCCATGGGAAAAGTGGCTCAACTGTTTCAGTGGGGACAGTTAGGCAATCACCCTGTACCAGAGTGCTAGGTCCAGTCTGGGCTGTTCCCTAATGCACCAGGAATGCAGCCTGGACGATGGCCCAACTACACGGGCCCTGCCACCCACATGGAGACTAGGAGATGAAAGACATGCTTATCTGCTTTTGAATCTTAAAAAAAAAAAAAGCACTGAGTATTAATTCTAACCAGTCATGTTTGCAAATTAACTTCTGCACATCATCAAGTACTAGAATGTTCCTCCTGTTTGTCAGAGTAAGCAGAATTTTTGTCTAAGGCCAGCAAAGAGGCTGTGAAGACTGGGTTGACTAGGATCCATAGACAAGAGGCGGGTTTTACAAACACATATGAATGCATGATTTGAAGATGTTCCTGCTGTTAGGACAAGCCAATCTTAAACACACATTTTTAAAAAACAAACCAAAACTGAGAAAACAAAAAGTGTCAAGAAAAACCAAAGATCAGTAAGACCAAATTAACAAATGCATGACACCGAGGAATAATCGGAGACCACCATGAAAGTATTAGCCACAAAAGCCAGAAACATTCCTGAGCTTAGTCCTGGCATCAAGAAAATGAACTAAACAATCCTTCATGCCCACTCAGTTAGCTACTGATGGTGTCTTGCATTCCAGCCAAAAAAGGGAGGTCATAAGAGCCAGCTCTTCAATTTGTCCCTTGAACTAGCATGCCCCTGGGTAACCCAACAAAATGAAGAAACATCCTGCCAAGTGCCAATATTCCTTGACTGGTGACTTAACATCACAACAATAAAGACTGGTCCACAAAAGTACCAACTAGACTCCATCTTATAGTGCTTACTGCTACCACCTTCTAATTAACTAGAACCAAAATTCCCTCAATACATGGCAGACTACTTTCGGCCTGGGAAAGCCGAGGAAGATGGCCCCGGCACCCAGGTGGAGACCCAGAAGCAGTTCCTGGCTCCCTACTGGCCCAATATTGCCATCTTGGCTATTTAGGGGCGTGAACCAGCAGATAGATGATGTTTCGGTCTCTCTTCTCTATAAATCTGCCTTTCAAAGAAAAATAAATAAAAAATAAAATTACAGTAATAAAAGTTAAAACATTAGTTACAATTTTGCAAATTAAAAATCACAAGCTTTAGGCCTGGCACAATGGTTCAACTAATTCTCTTACAAGCACTGGGATCCCATATGGGCACTGGTTCATGTTCCAGCTTCTCCACTGCCCATCCAGCGCTCTGCTTGTGGCCTGGGAAAGCAGCAGAGACTCGCCAAAAGCCTTGGGAGCCTGCACCCATGTAGGAGACCCAGAGGCAGCTCTTGGCTTTGGATTTGCTGAGCTCCGGCCATTGTAGCCAGTTGGGGAACGAATCAGTGGACAGAAGATTCTTCTCTCAGTATGTCTGACTTTGCAATAAATAAATCTTTAAAAAAACAAAACAGACTTTTTTAACTCATGCATCTAATTACAAATGCTTAATATATATAATGAATGCTTGCCCCACAAGCATAGAACAATAGGATGGGCTGGTTCATTTAAACAAAAAGGTCCAAGGAAGTGCAGCACAGGAAGATCCAGTGATGGGTCAAACAGGAAACCAAGAAAAGGCTGCATGGTCTTTAAAGCCACAAGGCATAGGTTATCTATGAATATGAGGTGATGTGACATAAATATGACCCCAAGGTTTTCCCAAAGAGGAATCTTCCATATTTTGTGAACTTAAACAAATATTTGAAGAGCAACATTACATTCAAGTTACTAAAGCCAGTGGCTCTGGAATTCCTAGTTCTGTGCCTAGGCACTGAAGAAATCAACCAAAGCTAAATCCTGTGTCCCTGAGGAACACACCAGACACACACACACAGGAACAATGTCTTGTTGTTCAAGATAGGCATACGTAAGCAGACACATCCCTTGGAAAGAGAAGTGGGATGCTTCTCATCCACATTAGGATCCCCAGCTATGGATCATAATCTCCACTAAACTATAGGCCTTACAAACCCTGCTGTAGGGTCCCATTCCAATTTTTAAAAATATAGGCTCATTTTCAAAGCCATTCAGTTGTAGTACTAGAGGGCAGGCTCAAGCTGCAGGCATTGAGCCTTGAATCCAGCCTCCGACTGAAGTGGCTAGATGCTGCAGCTCCAGCTGCAAGGGAGCCAGGTTGGCGGGCAGGGGGTCCTGGCTGCAGTCTATCCTGTTTTGGCGGTTGCAGACATTTAGGGAGTGGATTAAAGGTTTCTTTCTTTTCCTGCCATCCAAATGAATCAGTAGTTGAGGGGCAGGTGCTTAATTAGCCTTAGTGACAAAGCCCTCCATATACCACATCCTGAGAGAGCAGCCCGCAGCAGTGATGGCCAGGGTAACTGGGCTCCCGGCTCTGCAGACATCTGGGCACTAAAGCACACTGACACTTCTCTCCATGTGCCCCTCTCTGCCTCTCCAAGAAAACAAGTTTATAGAATGCTACAAAACATGTAAGTGAACAAGCACTTGAAATTAAAATATATCAATACATGTATTTCTTCAGAATTCAAATTAGTTTGCCACTCAAAATGTTTTGGGGCACCCCTAATGAAGCAGGGTCGAAATCTAGGACCAAATCAACACCAGATATTCTGATGTTATCCCAAGTAACTACTGTTAACTATGCTTCCATGACTTTTGATTGTGTATCCCTTGTCACCACGTAATGAAATCTCATTGACCTGAAATTGAAATCCAAACCAATCAGCATTCACTCTCAAGACACTGGTTGTTGTCCAAAGGAAGTTTCATTGTTAGGGAATGGCCTGTTGGGTCCAGAATGCAACTAAGTAGAGCTTAATTATACAAACAGCCTCCCCCCCCCCCAAAGATAGGGGGAAATGCCTGAGATTTAACTTTATTACTTTACTGTTTGCATCAGCCACATTCCTCATGCTTAGGAATAACAGGATTAGTGGCAAGCACAGTGAAAAGAGCAAAGATAAGTATGACTTCCATCAGTGCAGAACACTGTACCGGATGGAGCTGAACCAGAGCATCAGCAAGCATACAGGGAACCGTTTCAGACCAACCCTCACCCCGTCTCACTTAAAACTGGCCAGCCATCAAGCCTTGCAGCAGGAGATCAGGAGCACCTGAGCTGGTCCAGCAACAGGCAGGCAAGGCGGAGATTCATTCCTGCGGCAGGTGGAGGCGCCCCGCCAAAAGGCCCACAGTCATGTGCCTCAGCCTTCGCAAAGCAACTGTATACAACAGGTTCGTTTTTAAGTTGGTAATTCCATACGGCCCACAAAAGGTGCTCCAGCCCTGATCATCAGCAAGCTGCTGAGGGTCAGGACAAGGGTCACTTTCTGAAGGGGCAACCCGAGTTACAGAGCAGACTAGGAAAGACAAAGGGAAAGGCCAGGAAAAGGATCTCGGCGTTCCTGAAGGCAACACTCCCAAGATGTACTGCCTTCTCCTCTGGGCAAACACCCCCGCTGTGCCACCCAGGAGGCAGAAAGCAGCAAGAAAGCCAAGTGCTGTTCACCAACAGTGCACACTGCCCACCGAGAGGAGGCCTCTTGCTCCCCAATCACCAGGCTGGAATTCACCCTGGGAACAGTAAGCGGTTGTCATCTTCATCCTACTTCCTTACTATTTCCTAAGAAGAAAGATCGTCCTGTCCACACAGAGCATTTGTACTGCACAGTGCAAGTGCCAGGCAGTTACACCGTCCAGTACTGTCCCTCTTGCAAGTTGCCTTGGCAGCGTAAAAAACAACGGGGAGCTAACAGTTCAGCTACCAGCAACAGTATGAAAAGGACAGATGGACAGGGCATTCAAACAAGGAAGAGGTAGTTCGTCTTCACCTCCAATTCCCAATAAAGCAACCAAGGTCACCCGGTCGAGGAAGGCAAAGGTGACTTGAGACTCCAAGTAAACATTTAACAAAGTGCATGGGGAGGAACAAATCCCAGCTGGGTGAGGAGCGAGGTTCCAGCTCAAGCCTCCATCAACGGGAGGCACCAACCGGGCTGGTTCATGACTCACCAGGCTACCCAAGATCAGGGAGAAGCCAGCCGGGGACGGCATGAGCAAGCACAGCAAACGCAAGATGGGAGAGAAGCTTGCGTGAGAGTTGCTACACGCCCGGGTAAGACGCAGGGAGCGGGCACGAGTGGGACGAGAAGCACTGGGCTCCCAAGCAAAGGGCCCCAGGGATCCGTTATGGTTTCATCGGAAAACAGTCTTGTGGGTGGTGTAGCAAAGCTCTCCAATGAGGTCGGCATCAAACTCCTCCAAGCTACCTTCCTCCATTTCCAGGAAAAGCCACCTCAAGATCATCTGGAGCAATGGCTTGCAGTCCCGCTGCACAAAATTAACCGCACCCCTATCGGTTATCACAGATTCAAGTCCCGTGGGAAAAAACACATCGCTCGGGCTCGCCCGTCAAGCCCTACACCTGTCCAGTTCCTTCACGGAACAACGCCCATGCACCAGAAGCGACCAGACATGGAGGCGATGACATGGAGGCCCACGTCGGGAGGGGGAGGGCGGGATCCTCGCAGGCCCTGGAGAACTCCCAGGAAGAGACTGCGGCACTGCCCTCCCCCAGCGCGCAGGGCGCGGCCCTCTCCCCGCCTCCTCCACTGCGGCTCGGACGGAACCCCCCTGCCCAGCCCACCCGCGCCGCGGCCCCGGAGCAGGTCGGGCCTGGGCGGAGCCGCGGCCGCACTCCCGTCCCCGCCTCCAGCGCGCGCTTCCTGCCACGTCGCGCAGAGCCGAGGGCCCAGACACTGCGGCGCGGGGCCCCGGGCAGGGCCAATGGCAGGCGCTCGGTCCCCGGGCGGCGGCAGCCAATCAGACGGGGCGGCCGACTCCCCCGGCGGCCGGCGGCGCGGGAGCCGCTCCCGCTGACCCTGCCCCCGCGAGTCCCGCGCTCTCCCCCGCCCCGGGGGCCGCGCCAGACCCGCCCGGCGGCTGCGCACGCCCGACGCCCTAACTGACAGGCGCCCCGCTCCAACCGAAAGCCGCCATTTGTGTTTTCACACACACGGCGGGAGGAGCGGCGGCCAATCAGCACGCAGAGGCGAGCCGGAAGCGCATCCTCTGCAGGAAGTAATGGCTGCGTCCGGGGCCGGACCTTTTCCGCTCCCTTCGCCCTCCCCCTCCGGCTGCGGCAGGGCGGGCCTCCCCTCTCGCCGGCAGCCGGCCGTCCCGTGCCCCTTCCAGCCAGCCCTCTCCCCGGCGCTGCCCACCCCTGGCACTCCCGGCGGCGCCAGGCCGGGCCGCCTCAGCGCCCCCGCGGCCCCCGCCGCCGCGAGCCTCCCTCCCGCCAGAGTCCCGCTCCCCTACCTAGCCGAGGCTCTCTGAGGAGCCGGAGCCCCAGAGCACAGCCTCTTCTCGAGGGCGGCCCCGGCAGCTCCCGCGGATTGGCGGCGAGCTGGCCAATGAGCGCCGAGCGCCGGGCCGCGCGGCCAATGGCGCGGCGGCGGGGGGCGTGTCCCGGGCGCCCCTGGCGCCGGCGCCGGGGATCCCCGTGCGGTCAGTGGCGTTTCCGCTCGGGCAGCGGGCTGAGGGAGCCGCCGCAGCCGCCGCCAGCGCCGCCGCCAGCACCGCCGCCGGGGGAGGGGCGGCCGCCGCCCGCCTGCGCCGCGACTCACGCAGCCCCGGGCCGCCAGTCGGGCCGCCACAGTCGCGCCGGCCCCCTCCCTCCGCGGCCCTTCCCCCTCCCCGCCTGGGGCTCGCTCCGCCTTTTTGCCGCCCCCCCCACCCCCCACCTCCCGGGGACCGGCCCTTCCCGGCCAGGAAACGCCGTGGCGCCGCGTCGGGCCTAGCTCGAGCCTGCTGCCTCCCGGGAGTTGCCGTGCGCCGCAGGCCGGGCCCAGGCCTCCCGGCGGCGCCTGGGACAAGGTAAGGGTCCGAGCGGAAAGAGAGCGAGCCTCCCGGCCGGGCCCCCGGGAAAAGGGAAGGGAAGGGTCACCTCCTCCGGCCGGTCGGGACGCGCGCGCGGGCCTGGGCCCTGCCCGGGCCCCCCGCAGGGAGGAGGTGGCCCCTGATCGCTCCCGGCCGCCCCCGCACGCGCTGCACCCCTCGGTACCGGCGGGAGAGAGGACCCCCTCCTCCCGCCTGCACGCCCCTGGACCCCAGCCCGCTGCCCTCGGCCGGGGCCAGGACGCTCCCCTCCCCCACGCCGCTGCACCCCGTTTGCTGGGCGCTCCCGGGTCCACGTTGACCCCGGCGGGCGCGAGGCCTCAGGCAGCCCCCCACCCCGACCGACCCCCGCCCCGCTCCCGCGGCCTGGGCGGGGATGGGGGCCCCCTGCGCGTCTCCCTTTGGGCGCCTTCCCTCTCGTGCCTGGGCACCCCCCCATCCACCAGCCCCCCTCAGATGGCCGCCCTGTTTCCCACAACCCCGTCCTCACAGCCTTGGGCTCCCCGGGGCGTCTGGCCGGGATCCGTGAGATCGCCCCCGTGGAATGTGTAGGAGTGGAGCCAGATCGGGTCGTCGGTGCATGCCTTGGGCGTGGAGAGCGATCTTTGGGGGGGCCCAGATGGGGGAGGCGGCGGGTTCCGGGCCGCCTCGTGCACGCGGGGTCGGGGTGCGAGGCAAAGTTTCCCGGGTGGGGACGCCCCTCCCGCTGCGCGCGGCGGACCCGCATTTTCTGCTTTCTCATGTTACTTGTGCAATGTGTGCGTGTCCAGAGCCCTGGCTTCCCGTCGGCTTTGTCTCTCTCCGCACCCTGGGGTTCGTCTCCCCGGGGATCCCCGTGCCCCCGAGGGCCCTGCTGGCTTCCTCCTCCCCTGGCTTAGCCCTGTGGGGTCGAGGTGGCCAGTCGGTGACCAAGGTCATCTTTACGTGTCTTTGTTGGCCGGATGTGTTAGTAGAGCTCCACTTGGGGTGGAGGAGGACCAGGCGGCCAGAGTGTGCTGGGCTTCTCGGGAGACTGTGTGGGAAAGAGAAGTATTTCGGGTGGTTAATTTCATGATTAACGTTTTTAGGTCACTGAGAGAGAAGTTAGGAGTGGTAATTTTAGATGTGTGGAATCTGAGCGAGGACTGGAACGGAGGTTACTCGCGGAATCCGAGGTTTCTGGGCCTCTTGGAGGACACGGGGAGAAAAATTTGCTTTTTGGTTTTTCCAGTTTTCTCAGGAGGATCATTAGTTCTTGTCTGTAGCCAAAAATTCTGGCCCCTAATGGGATTAGCGTCTATGGGGTTTACTCGGACTGTCATTGTGTGTGTCCTCTGGTGGGACAAGCAGCACGTTTAAGTCTGCAGAATGCTTGGAACGTTGGCCTTCTGAACGCTGAAGCCTGAATTGCTGTGTTACTTACATGAGTATTGGTAATTTGAGGAATGCTGGTGTTTCTTTATAAAAAGGCTTTGGTTTGGGATGAGCGCTGTGGGGGTGGGGTGGCGAGAAGGTGCGCGCCAGGCGGCTGCAGCTGGAGCTCGATGGACGGGGGTTGGGGGGATGGACGGGGCGGCCGCCGTCCCCCGGGAAGGCCGGCACGGCGGCGTCCATTAGCGCCCAGGGCTGCTTCCGGGGGATTTTCCCTGCTGAACTGGTTTGCCTTTTACTGCTGTGAAGAGAATTAGCAGTTGCTAACCTTCTACCCAATTATGGATAGCAACGTCTGGAAACTGGATCATAGTTTAAAACTTGTTTGATTTGGGTCATGTTCCCGGAGAATTCTCCTTTTTAATCTGAGATTGTGCTTGATAGGTGCTCCACTAGCGTTTGGATTTTAAAATCGTTAAAATTGAAATAGTGAGACTTTAAGGGCCTTCCTGAGAAGCAGAGTTGGGAATAAATGATGGTCGGGATTTTTTGTTTTTTAGTTTTTATTTTTCCTGCAGCTGACATGTTTTCCTTCATCTCTTTAATCATTGGATCAGAGTTGATATTTTTGCTTCCCATTGATTAGGGCATGTGTATTGCATAGATGTTTTGCTAGAGACATTCTCCTAACTTGGAATCCAAAGCTCTACAAAGATCTGCCATTTTTTAAGTGACTTCTAAGTATAAATAGTTGCCTCTTAATTTCGGTGTTGCGAAACAAACTTCTCCATGTTATTTTCTGGAGTTTGACCTACAAAATTGGGATAATTATATGCATATTGGATATGTTTTTCTGACATCACAGGGATGTATCTTTGGCTGTGGGCCAAGGGAAATACAGGACAGACCAGAAAAAAATATACAGAAATAACCTGAGTTTACCTTCCTGCATTGAGGCAGTGTGAGCCCCTCCAGGATGGAGAACTGAAGCAGAAGTCTGTGAGTGTGCGACGCTAGGAGGGAGCCCAGCCCCAGGTACACCTCCCCATGGACAGCACTGACCATCAGGCATCCTGTGTTTATTTCACTCAGAATTTTGATTTGTCCAGTTTTGCATAAGCTTACCTAAAGTCCACATACATCCGTAATTTTATCAGAACTGGCATTTGTAGCAACGAACCAGAGTTCACAGATGTTATCCACATTGGTTTCTTGTGAATAAAATAGATCTGTGGAACGGAACCTTTAGTGAGTATTTAGTAGAACCTCCAGTCTAGGTGGTTCTAATCCTTACTGCAGTCACAGTTAAAGTACCATAGCAAGTGAAGATTTCACTTTTGGCTGTTTCAGGAAATTTAAAACTAAGTTTTACACTAGGTTCTAGTATAAATTATTAATATTAAACATAACCATATAATTGCTATTTCACTTTTATTTCCTGTGCTTTTGAAACCTGTTATGGTTTTGATAAAATTGTTTAGTGAAGGATCAAAGAGGCCCTTTTTGTGGATTTAGCCAGTATACTTGAAAATCTGTTACATCTTGTTGTATTTTGTGTCTAGGGACTTTGCATTTTTTTTTTCTGAAATTATTTTGATCTTTCTGGGGAGAGTGACTATTTCATTTTTACTTTTGAGTTGAAAAATAACAAGGTGGAATGTGGTAGCCATGAGGCAGGCCATGGGTTACGACAGTCAGTGGGTCCTGGATGGTGTTTTTTGTTTGCTTCTTTGTTTAATGACTTTTTGTTAAGTTTAAAGAGTGGATATGATTTATAAAAATTGTTTCAAGTATTGAAAACTGAAAATTT